AATCATAATACACCCTAATAATTACAAAATCATCATAGACAATTCCCCCCTGACAAAACGTCATTTTGGAGTCAAACTACTGAAAAGCTATATTTCGCCTAGCATTCGCCGCTTTTTTCGACACATTTGAGCGATTTTTTCTTTTCGCTTTTAATATAAATTAACACTATTATAGATTATTATTATCATTAGCACACTATCATATCCATTTTACATTCATTATCATTATGCATCATTATCATTCATACATTATCTATCATTATTGCAATATATATGATCATTATCATCATTACTATCATTATATTCGCGATTAGCTGCCGCCCATATATATTTCTTAGTAATTATGCTAACTATTTATCTCAAACACCCGAATCGCATTCACAAAATCAGCATAGAGAAACCCAACGTCATTTTCGGAGTAAACTTTAAAAAACTTATATTTCGCTAGATTCGCCCGTTATTTCGAACTATGGATCGTTCTCTTCTTCGCTTTTTTTTATTATAATTGGTATCATCATCATTATCATCATCATTATCATCCAATTATTTGTCAAAATTATTTCCCCATCAATTCATCATCATATATTATCATTATTATTGAGAATAGTAAGCCCGCCATATAAAATGTTTTAGTAATTATGCATATGAATTAGCCATCATTATAATAATAAAAGAATAAAATAATAATAAATAATGGCCAAAATCGAGCTTTTATTATTTATTATAATTATATTGATGTAATCATTATTATTGCCATAATTCTCTGCCGCGCAATATATATTTTTTTTGCCGAATTATAACAATAATAGAATATAAAAATATAAAGCCCAAGAAAAATAATCAATAAGACAAAAATCGCACTTTGATTTTTTCATTAGCATTATCAAACCATTTTTAATAATATCTATGTTAATACGTTATGATTTTTTTAGCAATCATAATAATAATCAATAATAATAACACTACTCAGAGTAACATTAATAACATAAGATAATGATAATAAAAACATCAATGATACTAAATATGTATTATTTATTACAATTATTTTACCATTCACACCCCATTATTATATTAGTAATGATTACCGTTTGTAATGTCTTTTATTGCCAATTTATAACAATAAGAAAAATTAATTAATCAGTGCCCTTATAAATAATAATAAAATAATGAAAATGATAATATAATTATCAATTAATATTAATATAAAGAAATAATAATGTACAGTAATAGTATTAGTAGTAGTTTAAAATTGTAACAGTCAATAATAATAAATAATGATAATATAATAAATTATCAATGATAATAATAATGATAATAACTATATAATAATAATCAGTAAAAAATAATAATAAAGATAATAGTATTTTTGCAATAAATCCATTATTATACAAAAATCATGATTATAATTACAATTTTTTAGCAAATTCTCATACTCTCATTTATCATCATTAATTGTCATGATTAATTACAGTTCATGATAATAATCTTTCATAAACACCCTAATAATTACAGCCAAAATATCATCATAGAATCGAAAAAAACGTCATTTTGCGCAGTAAACTCTGAAAGGCCTATAATCGCTAACGAAGCCGCTTTTTCGCTTGTTTTTTTTAATACTTTTTGCCTTTTTATATAAATGAACACCTATTATTGTTATTAATCATAATTACTATCATCATTATCTTTATATTATAATTATTTATATTTGATCAGTCTACTAGTATATATCATAATCATATCATCATTATCATGCCATTACTACATTATATATCATTACCATTATCATCATTATCCTTCATTACTCATCATACATTAATCATTCATTATTGCAATTATCTAGCATCATATATCATCATATAGATCTAATTACTCTATCAATGCATAATTACTAAGCCCGCCTTGGTGATATGTGATAGCTTCTTGTAAATTCTAGCGTGCTCATTATCACGCGGCACTTGAAAGGAATCAACCACAGACTGCTCCGCCTACTAACAATCGGATACAGTCTCTAGGGTCCTAGATAGTTGGAATAACCATATGTTTAACCCGCAGTTATGTTTCGAATAGTCAATACTTAACAATGTATTGTGCGGGGTGGGTGGGGTGGGGGGATGCTAACATTGTACTTGTAGCCTCAGGCTAGTAACAGTATTAACGCCGTCGGCCTTCTCTCATCCGAGTGGTCGGCCGGTTGCCCGCCAGGCAGTGAGAAGATTGCAATTGTCGCCTAGGCGCGTTACTGCTGCTGGCTGGGCCACCACGGCGGGTAAGGACAAAAGCGAGATTATAGCACCAGCCTGACACACTGTTAGCCAAGCGAACATTAGTGACACAGCCTGGGCCTCTACCTTATAGCCCCCCCTAAGGCAGAGGCCTCAGCCCTTCGCATATCGGACGTTATTCTATATAGTGACTTGTTTAGGACAAATCCCTTTCAAGTTGATATCGACAAATAACAGTGTGATGTATGCCATTGAAATATTATTATCTTGTCCTATTAGGCCTGTGCACAGTAGATCTCAGCAGCCGAAAGAGAGTATGGTGAAATGGCCTTTAAGAGGGTAATATGAGTGCAGAGCTCACATGTTGATGCATATCCTTGATCATGCATCAGTGTGCATCTGCTAAGTTTATTGACTCCCCCCCCACTATTGTGCTAACTGCTGCCAGCACCATTATGTTGACATTTGCCCGTTAAGTTAGATTACATTATTAAGCTCGCCAGCAAAATTGTCTTGAACTTCATGTTCTCTGGATTCTTTAATGTATCCTCCATGTTCCTCTTATTACTCCCCCCCTTAATGTGAGAATAAAGGCCATTATAGGAGTCGAAGATAAGAATTTAGCCACTTACTGCCAAATTACCTACTCTGAGAATCTAGGAAAGATTCGCATCACATAGTTATATATATATAGTACTAATAATATATATAATATATATAATATATAATAATGGGTGTGTGTGTAGATGTGTGTGTGTGTGTGTGGTGTGTGTGTGATGTGGTGGGGTTGGACCGAATTGGTCGGTCGTTGGGTGTAATGAATGATCTACACACACGCCGCCACACACACACACACACATACACACACACACACACACACACACACAACAAACAATTACATTTTATAATATATATATTAACGATATATATAATAATTATTACTATATATATAGTGTGAACTGTGTGTGCTGTGTGTGTGTGTAGTGTGAGTATGTAATGTATACACACACGCGCCACTACACACACACACACATACACACACACATACACACACACACACACGCACTCAAACACACACACCCACACTACACATCACACACACACTACACACACACACACACACACACATCACACTACAGAGCAGACACACACACACACACACAATATATATCATATATATATATACTCAGTATAATTATATTATTATAATATGTGTGTGTGCTGTCGTGTAATGTCGAGATGTATACTATACATTACACACACACACACACACACCACACACACACACACACATATATATTATATATATATATATATATCATATAATATCAGATATATGATTACGTACTTATCGACTATTACTACATATTACTAAGTTATACATATATGCATGTGTGTGTAGTGTGATGTGGTTTGCTAATAGTCTACACACACATTACACATCTATATAAACGATATTTACTATTACTAGGTAATAATAATCAGTATTATATTATATATCAATATAAGTATAATATATATTTAATATATGGTGTGTGAGTAGTGTGTGTGTGTGAATGTGGTGTGTGTTGTGGTCGTAGGACGTTGAGCTGTGGTGCTATAGTATATTATAATACTATATTAGATCCATATATAGTAGTATATATATATAGTGTATAGTATGCTATAGTATGTATATATATGTATATATATAACATATACATACACACACACACACACAATAACACAAACACACACACACACACACAAGCACAACACAACACCTATATTTTAGTTATAGGGTATAGTATACTAGATATATCATACTATTATAAGTTATATTTATATGTAATATACTACATGCACACAACACACGCACACACATATAAGCATGCATATAGATACATATATCCATACACATTACAGACGTAATACAGTTGTTATATATATAGATACCAGAATCTTATATAGTAGTTTATATATATATGAATAATATATTATATACATTTATATAATTATATATATAAGTATATAGTAATAATATATATAAGTAATATATATAATTGTATACATACCACACACCACACACAAACACACACAACACACACACACACACACACACACACACAACACACACACAACATCACACCCACACACCACACACAACACACAACAATCACTACTATATATCAATATATATTATATATATATTAAATATATATATATATATACTAGTATATTAATTTCTATTCATACCTAGTTTCATATATATGAGGCATGCCAAGACATGCTA